GAGCGCTGAGGTGGTGGAGGAGGGAGAGCGCTGAGGTGGTGGGGGAGGGAGAGCGCTGAGGTGGTGGGGGAGGGAGAGCGCTGAGGTGGTGGGGGAGGGAGAGCGCTGAAGTGGTGGGGAGGGAGAGCGCTGAGGTGGTGGGAGGATGCGCGAACAACGTTAATTACTGGTGCGTGTATATAAGCGACTATATATATCGCACCACTGGGAGAACGAGCGGATGGTGAGCTGTTGATGTTTCAGCACCCGGCTACATATCACGCTCTCTCTCCGTCTACCCCCTCTCTCTCTCTCTCTCTCCTCCTCTCTCTCTCTCTCTCTCTCTCTCTCCTCCCTCCTCTCTCTCTCTCTCTCTCTCTCGCTTTCGCTCGCTCTCTCTCGCGCTCTCTTTTTCTCCCTGCTTTCTATAGTTTCTGACGACTACCCCAACTTGTTCTTTTTATCCTCGCGATTGTCTAGCCGTCGGATCGTTACTGTGCTTGCAATACGTATTTCCTCATCGATTTCTCGTGGTTGGATACAATTACTGCCGCTTTTCCGTGATTGGCTGAATTTTGCAGATCTATACTATTGTCACTGTCAATTCCTAGTCGGCTTGCGTGCTGCTTCCTATCGTTTCTGAAGCGATGTTAGGATGGGATGAGTCAAGGCAGTAACAGTCTAGTAGGCGTGATGACAAAATAATATGGTTTCGGTTCTTTGTACAGTTATGTATTTCTTTCGCTTGTCGCAATTTCATCTCGTGCGTTGCTTTCTTTAACATTTTGTTTCTGCTGTATCTCATTCTTGCTTGCTGCGCAGTCACATATCACAAAGTGTGTTCTTCGTGTTATCAATAATAATGTGAAGCATTCGGGAATTCTTGCTGTTTCGTGTAATGTTGTGATCATGTATGTAGGTGCTAGGCCAGGCACATTTAATCGCAACTAACTATTTCCTTGATGTTTCTTTCGTGATGCAGTAACTGCTAATGCTTCTTACTGAATTTATACTAACCATTTGATATATTCCGTGGTAATTCTTGAAATTTGTGGGCCGGAAGCATGATTAGAGAAGTAAATGATAATTATCTGTCCGTGTGTGGTTATGCTCTAATACTAGATTAGTTCAGTCTGCATGAAGTTGAAACTTACTACTATGGTGTTTGGTAATTAATGTTATATTGTACATGTTGTTTGATTCACCTCTTGCTTGTACAAGGTGTAGATATTCAGTACCGAACCGTACAAGTACCGAATGTGATTGAAACCTATAATATATTCATAGTACATTCATGTACTTTTTCACTGTGCACGTGGTTTAAATTCATTGATTTTAACGTGTTTAATATGTTGCTAATACACATGTGAAGTTTAAAGTCATGTTATGTGTTTATTATATCTTCTTAGATTAGATTACCTGCACGAAATCTCACACATATGACGTGGATTCCATCCATGTCAGCCAGCACACGAGTTTTATTCTAATTTCATAACCACCATTATAATTGGGAAAGAAAGAGCTAGATAGAGAGATTAAAATCTACTATATATATATATATATAATAAGATATCATTTATCTATAGTAATAATATGATCGCATACAGGTGTAGGTAATCTTGGGGTGGGCCAACAGCGGACAATTGCATTTTTGGCCACTATTTACTGTCCGGGTGTTGCATGTAAGCTTATGCATGATGTTAGGAGCACCAAAGCCTGCCGCACGCACGCACGCTCACACGCACGCTCGCACGCAGGCATGCACGCACGCACGCACGCTTGCACGCACGCACGCACGCATGCACCACCGCATCTACTAACGCGCGTGTGCACGTGCTGCACGTGCTGCATGTTCTCTTGTTGACAGTCGTCACACGAGAGGCGACCTGTACACAGCACGCCAATCAAACCAGCACTGGATTGCGCCACCATATGCTTTACCCCTCTCTCCAGCTCACAGGAGCTTAGCCAGCTACAGGCCTCGGTAGGCTTCCTTCACGCACGCACACGCTTCCCCGGGGGGCGAAATTTTTTTTCCCACTTGAGTTCCGGACCACAGCCAATCAGCGCACTCCATTCACTCCACTTCCTCGAAGCAACAATGTGAAATGAACACCCACTATCTCTAACCCTAACCCTAACACTAAATATAATCCAACCATATATTACAAAACACTATCTATGGTGGGTCCGGAACTCGAGTGGGAAAAAATATTTTGCCCCCGTGGGGGGGGAGGTTTCACGCTCTGTCGCCACGGGGGAGAAGGGTTGACGGAGGTGTGTGGAGGGAGGAGGAGGAGGAGGTACACAGAGGAAGCTGAGGTGATCGGGGAGGAGCCAGGCTGGGGTGATCGGGGAGAAGCCAGGCTGGGGTTCCGCATGGCAGACGCGCCTCGTACGACGATGAAGTCATTGTTAGACGAGGCGCACGTTAGTGGGCGGCTCTCTGGAGTCCGGCACTTCCTCCGAGACACCAGAGGGCGTGTCGGTGCAGGGCTAGCAGATTCTCACATGATTGTGTTGTCATGTCGATTGCAGATACAAGGACAGGAGCACGTAGATGGCATAGTTGACCAGGAATCGCATAAGCCATTTCAGGTCCGCTTACTACCCCGCAATCAGTTTCGTTGCCTCCTCCTGCGTGCGCTTGCTCTCTCTCTGTGTGCTTTACCTGTAGACTTCTCCCCCACGCGCGCTGCGTCGTCGTCGTCCTCGTCGTCGTCGGCGGCGGCGGCGGCGGCGGCGGCGGCGACAAGGGGAGTCTAAAATCGCTGCGCACACTCACCCGGCGCCCTCTGTGTTAGCAACTTTTCGTTTCGGTTTTTCTTTGTGTCTTCGTTGTGGTTATGGTTGTCGTCGTTGTCGTCGTTGTCGTCGTCTCAGTGTTAGCGGCATGCTGTGTGTCGGTGTGTGAGTGCGAGGGAAGCATGTCCTACGCACGCACGCGCGCACACCGGCATGCTGTGTGTCGGTGTGTGAGTGCGAGGGAAGCATGTCCCACGCACGCACGCACGCACACCGGCGTGCTGTGTGTCGGTGTGTGAGTGCGAGGGAAGCATGTCCCACGCACGCACGCACGCACACCGGCGTGCTGTGTGTCGGTGTGTGAGTGCGAGGGAAG